TTACCTGAACAAAGCGCCCCTACCAGCCTCGGTCTTGGTCTTCTTCAATACTCGACAAGGGGGCCTTGCTACCCCGACATGTGAGCTTGATTAATCCCCCTCGACAAATTTGGGGACTGTATTGATGAAGCAGGTGGTCGATGGTGAACCAACAGGACTCGGTGTTATTCACAAAATAACGGAGGAGGATCACGATCCTTCATAGAGACGGGTGGATTTTCCCATGGTGCACCTCATATCTCTTGCTAAAATCCAAAACAACTGGATTTACCGGGCACAGTGTGAAAGACTAAGTGTAAGCACTTAAATACCCATCCACGTGGGTAGTAATAGCATCCTCAGGCCCGAGGACTACTACGTCCTTGCCTTCTCATTTATAGTCCTCTCGGACCATGGGAAGGACATCTTCGGTAACGAAGCATACATACCTCTATGCTCCTTCACCCCAGTCCTGTTTGGATGAGGGTTTCTCGATTTTGAAGTCGTCCGCGATTGAGCAACCCTCGTGCATAAAGCTTTTGGGAAGCTCCGGGGCAGATGCCCTGGAGTCAGAGCCACCTCAAGAACGGCCACTTCGGGAACAGCCGCCTCGGAAGCAGCCACCTCAGCATCTGTGGCCGGGTGGGAAGATAAAGAGGTAACTTGTTGAGGAACTGATTTAGACGTTTTAGCCATTGCTATCTGGAAAAGGTTTGAAAATTTAAAGGTTTGAAGGAACAAGTTTGAAGACTGAAGAGCGGATTATGAAGATTTGAAGAAAATCTGGGTAAGAACCTAAGAACAACTATGAGAATTTGAAGATCAAGGATGAAGATATGAAGGTTTGAAAGAAGTTGGTGCTTTGATCGGAAAGTGGAAAAAGAACAAAGGATAGAAGCTTTTATAGGGGAAGCACACGACGCTTCGCATTCGAAGACAACCAGTCGGTGGTTGACATGTGTTCGAAGTCAGAACGACACGACTGATGGGATGTTCCTACTTCTTTGTCGTTTCGATCGTGACGTATGAAGGAAGGAACCTAGGTTCATCTGTCGTTTCTCTTCGTTTCGGCAAACCTACTCTCTGAAAAATTAGGGGACTATGTGTATAAGGGTAAAATCGGGGCTAGTTAGTACCCCAATTTCCTGATGGGGCAAACAAAGTAAGGACATAACTATACGGAATCGGGATCGAAGCCAGGAACCTCTCGTACTAAGGCTCGAACAAAGCGCTTACCACCGAGGCCATCGAGACAATGTCCCCGAATTCGGTTCGGGCTCCAAGACATCGGAAGGCATAACTAAGAGGTTGTACACGATTAATGAAGGGCTGTGATATTCGCGCCCAACTAGATATCACAGCATGGATCTCGGTCCGTATCGACAGCGGATCAGTGATTAACGAAAAAGGAGATTTTTACCTTTTTTAGAATTGTACTTAGGGTAAAACTCCCCTATTATGTAAAGGGAAAGTTTATGGTTAAGAGACACATTGTAACACGCATATCAAGGTAATATATACTTTTTTATCTGATTCTAAAAGTTATTCAAAGTTCTTATTTTTGCTCATAGTTCTTCATAAGTATTTGGCTTCGAATCGAGGGCAGAACGATCATTAAGCTCAAACTGAGCTCGGACCTAACATCACAACTGGTTTGGTTATTTGTTCTATCTTCGATTCACTTATTTAATGTTATTGATCACTCGTATTGAATTAGTCCACATATCATTAAAACCGCGTATCAATTCAATTGTTATCCATGTTTAAGGGTAAACAAAATTATAGCTTAGAGGTAAACAATTTACAAAGTATAAGCTAAGGAGATAGGTATGAGCAGGTGAAGTTGTGTGGTATAAACTCAAGAATGGATAATATTATCTTGTCCCATTTTATGTGAAAATATTCAAATTTCGAGGGATAAACGAATTATTTTTGATCCCACATGACCGCCAATGGAGTGGGTAAGATTAGGTAGGTGTCTATGTTGAAGGAAACAAGAGGAGTTGGTGTTGGAGTTAAGGGACTGTGCCGTCTAATTTATTCTTACTTTTGAATGCGGTTCTTGAGTTGGATGTGGACCAGTTGCACAGACGGCAGATAGCGAGCATAGGTATAATTAAATTTTCACAACTACTTCAATTTGAAAATCAAATTTTACACCTTATCCAGCTTTTTAATCATATACATATTGTTACGGGCGAAAGCGATAAGGATGTATGGTTAGTGGGATAAGGGATAATAATTTTAAAATTAGAAGTATTTAGTTGAGTTTTTATATTCGGGATTAATTTATATTACAATTGTGGTATTATTTTATCACATATTGAGGCTAGAATAATTATCCCAGGATCACTTAATTCGGGGGATAGAATACTACAACGATAAATGTGTCCTTTTCCTTTAAAAAATCTAAGGTTAAAATCAAAAATAAAAATTTATCCCAACTTATCTACTGTACACCACCACCAACAATAACAACAACAAAAAAAACAGTAGTTTCCCACAAGTGGGGTCTGGGGAGGGTAAGATGTACGCACCCTTACCCCTACCCCTGGAAGGCCAGAGAGGCCGTTTCTGATAGACCCTCGGCTAGAAAACGGCTGGAAAAAAAAGGTAATTGCAACAAGAAGGAATAAAGCAAGATAAAATAAGATTGAATCCAAGAATGTAGTCAAACTCTAGGTTGTAATAGCAATCTATGAATAAAAGATATCATATTAATACTAATGCTAGCGAACTGAGTAAGACAAAGAGAAACGTTGGACTACCTACGAACCTTTTACCCTAATCTTTGACCTCCACACCCTCCTGTCTAGGGCCATGTCCTCAGTCAGCTCCAGTTGCGCCATAGCTCTCCTAATAACCTCTCCCCAAGACTTCTTAGGCCTACCTCTACCCCTCCTGCTACCCATCGAGGCTAACCGCTCGCACCTTCTAATTGGGGTTTCTATACTTCTCCTTTTAACATGCCCAAACCATCTCAACCTCGCCTCCCGCATCTTATCCTCCATAGGGGCCACTCCTACCTTTTCACGAATAACTTCATTCCTAATTTTATCCAATCGGTATTCCCACATATCCACCTCAATATCCTCATCTCAGCTACTTTTAGCTTCTGGGTATGAGAGTTCTTGACCGGCCAATACTCTGTCCATACAACATAGTCGATCTAACTACAACCTTGTAGAACTTACCTTTAAGTCTCAGCGGCACATTCTTATCATACAAGACACCAGAAGCGAGCCTCCACTTCATCCATCCTGCTCCGATACAATGCATGAAATCTTCATCAATCTCCCTGTTATCTTGTATTATAGATCCAAGATATTTGAAATTACCTCTCTTGGGGATGACTTGCGTATCAAGCCTCACCTCCATATCCCCTTCTTTGGTACCGTTGCTAAACTTGCACTCCAAGTATTCCGTCTTGGTCCTGATCAACTTTAAACCCTTATACTCTAGGCTCTGCCTCCAAACCTCCAGCCTCTCGTTAACACTACCCTGACTCTCATCAATTAAAATTATGTAATCAACAAATAATATACATCATGGCACCTCATCTTGAATGTGTTTCGTCAATGTGTCCATCACCAAGGAAAATGGAAATGGACTAAGAGTTGATCCCTGGTGCAATCCCATCACAACCGAAAAGTGTTTCGAGTCTCCTCTCAATGTCCTAAATCGAGTCTTAGCCTCATCATGCATGTCCTTAATCACCCTAATATAGGCTAATGGGACCTCTTTAGCCTCCAAGCAGCGCCAGAGCACCTCTCTCGGGTTTGTCATATGCTTTATCTAGGTCAATGTACACCATGTACAAGTCTTTCTTCATCTCCCCCCACCAATCTCCTCACAATGTGAATGGCTTCCATAGTCGAACGTCCCGGCATGGAACCGAACTGGTTCTCAGAAATGGACACACTTGTCCTCACCCTCTCTTCAACCACCCTCTCCCAAACTTTCATCGTATGACTTAGCAGCTTAATCCCCCTATAATTATTGCAATTTTGGATAACGCCCTTATTTTTATACATCAGAATCATCGTAATCCACCTCCATTCGTCGGGCATCTTCTTCATCCTAAAAATGACGTTGAACAACCTAGTGAGTCACTCCAAACCTGCCTTATCCGCATTCTTCTAAAGTTCCATAGGGATTTCATCTGGCCAGGTAGCTCTACCCCTGTGCATATTACGCATAGCCCCCTGGACCTCCTCTACTCTTATGCACCTACAATACCCTAAATCTAGACGCATCTCGGAGTGCTCCAAGTCGCCCAGCACAATAGCCTTATCACTCTCTTCGTTCAGGAGTTTATGAAAATATGTCTGCCATCTTCGTCTAATCTGAGTCTCTTCCATCAAAACTCTACATTCCTCATCTTTGATACACTTAACTTGATCCAGATCACGGTCCTTCCTCTCTCTCACTTTGGCTAGCCTGTATAGCTTCTTGTCCCCGCCTTTGGCCCCAAGCTCTTCATACAAACGCCCAAATGTTGCAATCTTAGCCGTAGAAACCGCTAACTTCGCCTCCTTTTTAGATCTAATATACTCCTCCATGTTCATCCTCTTCGCCTCCTTGTCCATGATCTCTATAAGCTTCAAGTACGCCGCTTTTTGGCTTTCACTTTCTCGTGTACCTCCTCACTCCACCACTAGTCATCTTTGTGGCCGCCAGAGAAACCCTTCGAGACCCCTAACACTTCTCTCGTAGCTTCTCTAATAAACTCTGTTGTCGTGGTCCACATACACCTCGCGTCCCTAATGCTCCTCCAGGCTCCCATAGCCAACAACTTTCCCCCAACTCCTGCGCTTTGTCATTAGTCAAAGCACCCCACCTGATCCTAGGTTGATCATACACATCCCTCTTTTCCTCTTCGCCACGATCTCTAAGTCCATCACCAATAACTTATGTTGAGTCATGAGATTCTCGCTTGGTATAACCTTGCAATACATGCACATACTCCTATCCCACTTTCGGAGGAGTAGATAATCAATTTGAGTCTTGGCCAACGAACTCTAGAATGTAACCAAGTGCTCCTCCCTTTTCGAAAAATACGAGTTAGCAATCACCAAATCAAAGGCTTTAGCACAGTCCAACAACGAAGTACCTCCTCCGTTCCTAACTCCAAAGCCAAAGCCGCCATGCACACCTTCATAATCCCCAGATGCCGCCCCAATATGACCATTGAAGTCACCTCCTATGAATAACTTCTCGGTGTGCGGATGGCCACGGACCAACCCGTCAAGTTCTCCCCAGAAGCGACTCTTAATCTCCTCATCCAAACCCACTTGAGGCGCGTAAGCACTAATCACATTTAAAGTAGACCCTCCCATAACCAGCTTAATAGACATCAGCCTATCGATCACCCTCCTAACTTCTACCACTAGCTCTCTAAGATCCCTTTCAACCAAGATACCTACCTTATTCTTACTCCTCTCGCGTCCTGAGAGCCACAATTTAAACCCATCGGCATCTCGAGCCTTCGAACCCACCCATCTAGTCTCTTGGACACAAGCTATATGAATCTTCCTCTTCTGGAAGATCTTCGCTAACTCTATAGACTTTCCCGTCAAAGTACCTATGTTCCAAGAACCCACTCTCAGCGTAGAGACTCCCTTGACCCACCCCCACCCCACCCCACCCAAGGACATGAT